TAGATAGATAGATAGATAGATAGATAGATAGATAGATAGATAGATAGATAGATAGATAGATAGATAGATAGATAGATAGATAGATAGAACACAGCTGTGCCTGTCTGCAAAAAACTGAATCTAATCCTCTTAAACCTAACCCCTTTTTGTTCTAATCTGCTCAGCAGAGGATCTGCAATAAGAGACCATAGAAATTAACATGCAAAACCAGACATTTTTTAACTTTAAAAAAAGAAATGAAGAATAGGTCAAAGAATAAGAGGGTAAGGATGTGGGGAACAGCAGCATATGAAAAGAGCAAAAGTCTGGTGAAGTGAAAAGAAAGCTAAAGAACAGAACAGAGCAGTTTGTTGCATTGCTCCAGCAGAGCAGTGCAGAGGTTGAATAGTACAGGAGAAGATCCCAGATCAGGGACATAAATATCATGTAGTCATGCTGCGTAAATCCATAACAATAAAGTTGGTGGCGTTGGATAACAGGATCCATGAATGATACGTATATGATATCAATAAATGTGAAAATAACGGTGAGAAGGAAAAATCGAGATGAAGTGAGTGAGATAGGAATACACATTGCCTCTAGTAAGTGTATTGATCTTTATACCGCTATATGGACAATAAGCAGACATAGATATTGATCCGCATACTAAGAATAACAGTGAAAATGGGCTTTTCTTTTGGAAAACAATATAAAGTCTCGACCCTATGCCATCCTTCCTATGCTTATCTCTAATCTAATGTTTCCTGCTCTGTTTGCTCTCTTTCTCATCTCTCAGTTTCTGCACAATTTGTAATTTGCTTAAGTAGACAAAAAGGGCAGTCTGGTCCTGATACACACCTACACATTCTGAATAATTAATGGTTTGTTTGCATCACGGCAGTCATTTCCATTGAGACATATCATGCTGAATGCACTTTTTTTGCATTTATAAACTATTTTTTGTGCAATTATAGTGTCTAGGAGTGTAGAAAACTTTAATTTATTCTGTCCAGTTACTGCAAAGACATTTTTATATTATTTTATGGGTCAGATTTTTCAGTTTGTTCAAAATCTGCTGTTGCTTATTTCGTTTCATTGTTTATTTTGTCACACTTTTTTCTTCATAACTACCATTTATGGTAATGTATTTCCGGCCAACTGAATTTCATAGTCCGCCAGTTTTTTCCTCGCTGTGTGATTTTGTAGTTCATAGCGTCATGCCAAAAATGCAAGGTCAGAAGTCAAAATGTTCGGTTCTGGGGTGTGTGAACTCACATGATTAATCTACATAGACTACCAGCGTCGGAGCTTCTTCAAAGTGCCTGGTTAAGTTTTATTTTTCAAGGAAATGGACCCACAACAGGGCGGAAAGTGCTTGCGGACAACACAGGATGAATGTTACAACAACAAGGGTGAGTTATGAACTGTGTTTTAACTGTCTAATTTAGCTGTTTCTACCCT